CACGAGCGGAGACCAGACGCGAATCGGAGGGGGGGGGGGGGGGGGGGGGGGGTAGCTTTACCCTGGGTTCCTCTGAGTTGCTAACCTTTTTGTTTATTTTCTGGGTGCAAAGGGTGAGAAGATCAGTTTCCTGGGTGCACCTTCTTTGGGTGTCCTGTAGCTTGCCCCCTCCCAAGTCCAACCCACACATAACTGGCAGGGCATGTGGGGGTCATCCTGGGGAGGTACACCCTGAGTTTGATATGTCCAGCTCACCCTTGGTCAGTTCTATATACTCCGGAACCTGCACCGGACATCCCTGAGAGGCACTATTCTGGGGGCACCTTGTGTGGGGGTCTGCAACTCGGCCCTCCCAGACAAATCCACATGTAACTTGCAGGGCATGTTGGGGAGCATCCTGGGGAGGGGGGCTCCATGAGTTGGATGTGTCTAGCTCAGCCAGGGTTGGCACTATACACTCTGGAACCCGCACCTCAAATCTTCCCGCAGCACTTTCCTTGGGGGGTCTGTAACTGTACCCCCAATCCAATCTGCACATAACTTGCAGGGCATATTGTGGGGTCCCTTGGGGAGGAGCTTAGTGAGTTTTATACCTGTAGCTCATCCAGGGTCGGTTCTATGCACTCCCAAACTGGTGCCAAAAATGTTCCTGAAAAGCAGTTTCCTGGGGCACCTTTTTTTGAGCTCTCAGCTGGTTTGGGAGTCCATAACTTTATTTTATTTTTGAAATTTTTATTCTGCCCTCCCCAAAGCGGGCTCAGGCCAGATCACAAGAAACCGAGTCCACAAGACTCGTTACAATAAAATCACATTAAAATCAGTTAAGAAAATAAACAATAAAAATTCATACAGGTAGCAAGAGTTTCATATCTGTTAGAGCCACAGGTGGAATCAAATGGGCTCCCCCAAGTCCAATCCTCACCAAACTTGGTGGCCAACCCAAGAATAGTCCGCTGCAGATATACTGCTATTTTGGGGCCTCTAGGACCCTGGAGGGCGACCTCCCCCTTTCCAAACCAGTTCGGTTTGCGAACATGGCTGGTTTGTGAACCTGGTTCGGGAACCAGTTCAGAAACTGCTGGTATGCGACCCCAAACTGGGTTTACCCAGTTCGTATCCATCCCTAGTGCAGATGGACAGCTCAGCAAGGAATCACTGCTGTAGTCTGTAAAATGCTGATACAGTGTCTGGATGGCACTGCAATGCTAGTGCAAAGGAGAGAGCAGGCCATGTAATGGATGAAACATCAAGGGAATATATTATTGGATCTAGAGACTGTAGTTTCTAATCTCAACGGGATACTGAGCAAATAAAAGCTTTAAGTACTCCCTGCTCAATTTTTTCTATCATGCTCTCTATCACTCTTCCATTCCAAGGATCCTTCCAAAATGTGAATTTACTGGAAGGGACTCTCCAGCTTCAAGTCCCTCTGCTGTTGTATATCCCCATACACTCTTCACTTAGCACCACACCTTTGCTTAGCAGTGTCTGAAATCTATTTTGCTCTCTCCCCCTCCCCAGCAGCATTACATTCTCACCATTCCTTGCTGCATCATCCAATCTGAGATCGGGGGTTCTGGCTCCAGCTAGTTAAGAGAGAGTTTACTTTGAAAAGGTGCTAGGAAAGGTAGGAGTGGTAAAAAACAAAGGCATCCTCCAGAATGTTAACATTTATGAGGCCTGTAAAGAGAGCAGCACCTTCTTCTACAAGTAAAGGATGACTGACAGGTTGATAATATTCTCTTTCTTTTATTTTTTGGAGAGACTAATGGGGTAAGGGACAACCCAGAACTGAACCAACGACAGGGCCGTATTCCCCTCTAGAGCTAGAAAGGAAATGCATAACTCATTCCTTCTCTTTCTGCTGTGGAATGGATGCTCTGGGCAGCAGAAGAATGGCATGCTGGTTTGCTAACCCAGACCCTGAAAGGAAGCATGGCTGTGACATCAGAAAATAATACTCAGCCCCAAGATGATATGCTTAGAGAGTTACAGTTATGAGCCTGCAAAGTTACCATTCTTGTGAGCACAACTAGAGTCTCACCTCACTAGTTACTTCAGCGGGACGTTTTTTAGGGAGTAATCCCTTCAGCACTGAGCCGCCAAGGCCTGATCTCTAGATTTATACAAAACTATAGAGAGAGGAGAATTCAGTTAGGTGTACTTTTCCCATTACTGCAGAACTACAATGGGAAAAATTGCACCTGGTGAAAATCTCCCCATCCAGGTGAAACTTGGGCTGGTACAGATGCAACACTGCTGGTCTCTTAACCATGATTTAGTGGGTCAAGGGGTAGCAGAACTCCTGTAAGCACAAATTCTTCCCTCTCAATCTAGCCAAGGTTCCATTTTAAAATTAAGAATATATAACAAACAAATTAGAAAGAACGCTGCAATTTTTTAAAAAAAGTTGTATGAACGGCAGTATTCTACTCGTGTATAAATGGAAAGACACAGCCATTGATTGCAATTGTGGCTAACAGCTCACATGAAGTTACTAAAAGCATCTTCAAATGGATACCTGCAAATCCAGGAGTAGGGAATGGCGTGCATTGCCTTTACAGGGACTGCACTCAAGGTGGACAGATGAGCTCCACTTCCAAAGCTAAGGATTTTTGGAAACAAAGAAAAGGTTGTGCCCTCACACTTTCTGAACTAGTGTATATCAGGAAGCTGGCTCCCCAAAACACCCCTGAATCTCTCAGATGTGAGTTGTGTGAGACTTTTTAACCTTTCTGAAAGCGCTTTGATGACTCAGATATTGTATTTTAATCTTCAGCGTGGATAAGGAATAATATGCATTTATTTTTGTTTCTGACCTCATTTACATATTCGAGTATATTTGGTATCAGTGATTCCTTCATACTTATTTCAAGGATGATTAGACTTTTTAAAAATTTTATTTAAAACCAAACATGAGTGACCTTTGGCTAGGACACCAGGTTTTCACTTGACACCTGGAATAAATTATCTTCTGACTTCTCTTCAGTCAGAGGGCTGCAACTGGGCATCGGCAAGAGCAGCCACCTCAATACAGCCCCTGTGATTTAGTGGTGAATGCACTGAGAAGCTGAAGGAGCAACTACCAACACTTATACAAGGAGAGGGTGACCTACACACAGAACTCATCCAGGACCTTCGAAGTATTGACTCACCGCTCCTGTATTCTGCTGCCTGGCATCTAAGGCTCCAGCTAGTCCTTTGGTTGCCAGAGGATCTTCATACTTCACCCTGAACAAGAGAACCAAATTAAAGAGAAAAACTCCAGATGGGCAGAGGTACACGAGATGTGGCCTGGCAGAACCAGCCCCCCTCCCATGGTAACAGGGAGGAGATGTCAACATGGTGTTTTACCGACCCTTCCCCCATCGAAAACTTTTTGCTGTGTCCCAGCACAGAAACACAGCTGTCCTGAAAGGATGTAAAGTGCCCATTACGAGTGGAATTCATTCTGAATTTTGCCATCAGGGACTGCTGGAACAAGTGTTGGCCTTTTTCCTGGGCTCAGATCCAAGCTCAGCCATATAGTAGTTAATTAAGGGCAAGGCATTTCCCTTCACCTCCAGTTCGCCACCCAATGACATAAAAATGACTGAACTCTGAGGCTTGTTGTAAGATAAAAATCAGATAAGCAGATCTGCTAAACTGAGTTAATAACTTAGATGCCCTAAGGGTCAGGGCAGATAAGCAGGAAAGGGCTATGTAGTTTTATTAAATTATTATTAAATTACTTTATTATTTTGATTAAAGTAATTATTAAATTAAAATGCTCAGCTCATACTTCATTGCCTAAATGCATCCTCCCCTCTAGGCAGCATGTGTGGGGAGGGTAGTAAAATCCTGCACCAAGGAAACAGGATTTCTACAACCTGTATCAAGTAATTTCTTATTCTACATTGTCCTGAATTTTTATAGCGTATTCTGACCATTGAGAGGGGAACTATGGAAGATACCGGGGGCCCTGTGCTGAACAAGGGGAAATCGGGCTTGGCCACTCACTCTGGCTTCTGAGATTTCTGCAAGCATCATCCACAAACTTTCAAATATTTGTACCCACAAGGCCTTAGGAGAATGCCTTTAAAAAAGGCACCAAGATTTTTAAAAGGCTGAAATCTGCATCTGACACCACCTTCAACCATCTTCTGTGCTCCTTCAGGGCTGCAGCACATTCGTAAATCTGCATATACCTTTGTTCTACCTATGAACATGATCTCAACACAAAAACGTGCATCCTTTCACATTTCGACTTTGTTACGTGAAGCATTGCATACTGTAGTCAAGCTTGGGTAGAGTTAATTGTTCCTGGCAATTAGTGCATGCCCAGTGACAGTGATACCTCTGCATTCAAAAAGTATCTCAAAGAAACTCTCCTGCATATCTGAAGAAGCGAGTAGTGACTCATGAAATCCCATCCCCTGCCAGCTACAAATTTCATTAGTCTTTAAGGTGCTACTGGACTCTTGCTCTTTTCTACTGCTACAGACAAACATGGCTACCCATCTTGATCTATCTTCTACATAGCAATACCTCCCCCAATAAGAACCAAAGGCTCCATCTTCTGCTTTAGAATGCTCCCCTCCAAAAAAATCAAGACCATTCTCCTTTGCTTTCATCCTTAGACCAATGCTGATTACCTCTTAACACAGGAAGCCCAGGGTTACCTTGTCCAATGATGGCCCAGCACTGAACTCCCCCCAGCCATGTCTCTGCCACTCCCACGATCAACGGGAACCATTCTCCCTCTGGGCCATGGGCCTGGGCCACTTTTGCTCAAATTTTTCAAAGAAGTGTTCATCTGTGAAAGGCCCACTGTGCACAATGGCATCTAGGATGAAGTAGAGTGCCACCACCATGAAACTGATGAGGCAGAATGGCAGGAAGGGTTTGAGGTGTTGCCAGCAATTCTGCAAACAGGTATTCATGGAGTGCTCAGAAGACAGCAAAGCCCAGCTAGCGCAGTTGCCCAGAAAAGTCCCGATTTGGCAGCAAAGTCGAAGAGGAAGACAACACACAGAGAGAGAGAGAGAAGGCACAGGGCTTCTAACACAGACTGTCCCAAGTTGGCTTAATGGCAGGGAAAGCTAGTCCCATTGGAGAATGAGGAATCAATAGAAAATGCCACTTCATACAGCCAGATCATGTGAGTCTCTGTTGTAGGAGAATCAGGCTATGCTATAGAGTGTAGAAGATACGCTTCCCAGTTCCTCTGCTACTCTCCAGAGAGAGGGAGAGTGTCCAGACTGCACTCCTAGAGGTTGGGTTTCAGCAGAGGACCAGCTGCTTCTGGTTCCTTTTCCACCTTCATTCCCTCCACTACTCTCGGCAAAGAGCTCGCTAAGAACACCCTGCCCATGGTGTGCTACGTGCACACAGCATCGGTGCTTTTCTGCCTGGTTCGTTTCCTTTCTGCTGGTGAATCAGCCAGGTTCTTTTGGGAAGCCAATTTCCAAGTCAAACATTATAAGCCTTCCAGCAGCAGTGAGCACAGTGCCAGTTGTGGCTAGAAGCACGCTGGCATCTAGCCTAGTTTGCTAAGTGCTGAGCAGGCAGGCGGGTTTCAAATACAGCTGCCCACGCCCACAACAAACATTTGTTTTTAGCATCAGCAGAGGTCACTCCATGACTACTGCAGGCTGGGGCTTCTCAGAGACACAGAGGTGTATTTTGGACTGACAGGGCTGGGAGGACCCAGAAGGCTAACCAAGAACAAGTCCTGCGCAGACTCACCGTGCTTGACATTTACATGTAGTGTTATCCGGAGCATTCAAGGCGCTCCACATAATTCTCACAGTAATCCATACCCATCACCGTGTTGTAAAGTAGGTCATTATTATCCTCTCCCTATTGCAGAAAGGAGTTGGGGCCAAGAAATTTGAACCTGGGACTTCTTGGCTGAGTTACTCCACCAGCCCTCGCACAACACTGAGCTCCCTGTGCCAGGACAGTGGGAGCAAGGAAGCTGAATGACTTAAGGTGTAAGGAATGCCACATGAAGCAGGGGAACATAAACACCCCCTCCCTGTAGGAAAATTCCTTCCCAGACGAAAATATAGGTCGGTCTGCACATGCACGACAGCTTGTTCAGATATGCATGAGGTTGTTCCCCCCCCCCAAAAAAAAAGCTGGGAGGAAGGACATGCTGCAAAAATTGAGACGTTTCCAGGGCAGTCTGCCTCTCTGTAATACAAACAGGGTTCACTGTGAGTTTTTAGCTGAAGCATGACTCTTGGACTGGTGGGTAGGGTCACCCATCTGAACTACCCAGCATTCTGCGGCACACTACACAGAACTCTGCTCTCTATTTGGCCTCAGCTATTAAAAATGAATTATGCATTTCACTACTGCCCCAATTCCCAGAGGCCATTAGGGAGTGAGACTGGGCCAGGGAGGAAAAAGGAGTGGAGGAGGTAGCGAGTGCTAATGAAGGCTTACAACTGCCTTCATTAGTTCCATGGAGATAGAACACAGAACTGATCAGGGACTCTTTTGCCTTGAGCGTACACACCATCTCCTCTTAGAGAAACACCCCCAAAGATGACTTAGATTGGGGAATTTAAAGGTGGTTACAGAGATGAAGCTCTCACAGCCCTTACCAGACAAGCTTACTGAACAAAGAGCTGGAGAAAGAACACCTGCAATGATGTGAGCACAAATTTTGTCCCCCCCAAAAACAGAGCATGAGCAGGCCCAGCCAACACGATTAGGAAAATAAAGAAGAGTAATGCACTGTAAAAGAAAGTGGTATATTTCAAAAAAGGTGGGAATAGTTGGTTTTTGTGGCAGTCAGTGGTTTTTACTGTTTGCTAATAATTTATCACCATTCTAGCAATCTTTTGTTTTCTCTCTCTCTCTCTCTCTCTATATATACTAGAAATAAGGCCCGTTGTGGAAATAAATACAACGGGATCTAGAAAGAGGCTCTGGGGGAGTGCTCTGGCTTTGGGCAAACAGTGTCATTTTGCTGTGGTGACCTCAGCAGGGTATAATGACAGAGTCCACTGTTTTCTCCAGAGGAACTGATCTCTGCTCCCTGAAGAGCAGTTGTAATTTTGAGGGATCTGTAGCCCTCACCTGGAAATTGGCAACAATTGTTACCCAGGACGAAATGGCTGGTTTGGAGGGTGGAGTCTATGGCATTCTACCTGTCTGAGGTCCCACCCCTCCACAAACTCCACCCTCTCCAGGCTCCACCCCTCAAATCCCCAGGAATTTGCCAGCCTGGAGTTGGCAACCCCATCTCCTTCTCAGCTAACCATCAACCTACCATTATCTGCCCCTTTGACTTCAGCTGACTTCCGCCCTCCCTTCTGCAGAGCAATTGTAAGTTTGAGTGGTCTCCAGCCGTCACCTGGAGATTGGCAACAATGGTTCCCTATGTGGGACTGAGTGGTTTGGAGGGTGGAGTCTATGGCATTGTACCTGTCTGAGGTCCCACCCCTCCTCAAACCTCACCCTCTTCAGGCTCCATCCCTCAAATCTCCAGGAATTTCCCATCGGGAGTTGGCAACCCTATCAGGATTGGCCCCAATATGTTTTCTCCCAAAGGCCAAAGTAGGTGACTGGACCAAACTAAGTTGCCTACCATCAGGCACTGAGGGGAAAGTAGGGTTGCCAGCTATAAGGAGGGAAATACCTGGAGTTTTGGGGGATGGATTCTGTAGAGGGCAGCATTGGGGGGGGGGGAAGGACTCAGCAGGTATAATGTCATAGGGTCTACCCTCCAAAGCAGCCATTTTCTCCAGGGGAAACTGATCTCTGTCATCTGGAGATCAATTGTAGCAGTGGGAGATCTCCAGGTCCCACCTGGAGATTGGCAACCCTAGGGGAAAGTCAGCTGCACAGCAGGGGGTTGAAGAGAATGGTTTGATGGGTGCTGGGCCAAGATTGGCAACAATAGTTCCCCAGGAGCAAATAGCTGGGTTGGAGGGTGGAGTCTATGGCACTGTAACCTGTCTGAGGTCCCCCTCTCCGGGCTCCACTCCTCAAATCTACAGGAATTTCCATACCTGAAGATGGCAACTTTATCTCCTCCCCTCTCAGCAGCCTCTTTCTAGGCAAAAATCTGTCTTTCTCATTAGCGGGGGAGCAAAGCACCTTACGTCATTCTCTTCGGTTTTGCGATCTGTCCATAAGCCCCCAGGCAGCTTTTAAAACATGATCCTGGGACCTACACACCACCAGACATTCCAACTGCCTTGCAGGGGGGGCGGGGGGAGTATGAGTTGTGGAATGGAGTGAAGTCCTATCAGCTTCCATATGCAAAAGACCTTGAAGGTTCTATATGCAACTGACATTCCAACTGCCTTGCGGGGAGGGGGGTGAGTTTGAGGTGCGGAATGCAGTGAAGTCCAATCAGCTTCCATATGCAAAAGACCTTGAAACACTGGGCGGGACTGCACAAAGCAGCCAATCAACCCAGCCAGCGTCTTCTGACTGACAGTTCAAGCGTCCATACACTAAAGGAGTGCATTTTAGAACTTTGGCACCCACTATTCAATTATATATAAGGAGAGATATCAGAATGTTTCTATTTTACTGTTCTTTGCTTTAAAGCAATCTTTTCCCATTTATTTTTATTAAGCAACATTTTTTTTAAAAAAACCCTAACAAAATGCACTAGAAAGGGAAAACCCTGCTTTCTCCCAAGTGTCCTTGGGCTGGAAACCATGTTTCAGCTTCACCAGCAGTGCAGGACATAGCCAGCTGCTTGAGTCATTTTGGTATCTCTTATTAAGCTTGGGCTGCAATCTCACGGATGTTTTCCCGGAAGTAAGCTACCCAAAGGTTGGGTAAGAGAAAATTATAAGAAAGTTATTGTCTGTTAAAGGTTGATACAAAAATGCACACTCAGGTATGTATGCTATAAGGTTTATATTATTTTATTGCAGTTTAGTGTATCCTTAATTAATTGAACTTAATGTTTTCATTAAAATAGTCTTGTCATATACAGAATGAGTTATTAAATCAGCATTCCCTGGATGTGTGTGCTGGACAAACACTTGTCAGGGATGCTCTAGGCTAATCCTGCATTGAGCAGGGTGCTGGACTAGATGGCTTCCAACTCTGTGGTTCTATAATTCTAAAAGTCTAAGAAAACTTTTCACACAAGCTAATTCTTTTGCCACACAATAATAATTAATGATAATTATCATATGGCAGTGTGTGTTGTATGGAGTGGAGGTCCATCAGTGGCTATTATCCACAAGGTATAGATAGGAACTCTCAGTCTGGGGCAAGTCATGCACTGTATTCTTGGGGGGGGGGGGCAACAGTGGGAGGGCTTCTAGTGTCCTGGCCCCACTGGTGGACTTTCTGATGGCACCTGGTATTTTTGGCCACTGTGTGACACAGAGTGTTGGACTGGATGGGCCATTGGCCTGATCCAACATTGGCTTCTCTTATGTTCTTATCCGAGGATTGTCTGGCAGCTGAAGTTCTAACGCAACTTGCCCAGCCTCATGGAAACTTGCCTAGCCTCATGGAAAGCGTACTGGGGAACCGAAAGCCACAGCTTTCTCTTGAACATGGGCGGGTTTCAGTGCTTTGAAACAAAGAATGCAAAATTCTGCACAAAAATACAGAAAAATGTTGCACCAACCAAAGCTGAATGCTGAGAGACCTATATAAAATTAGAGCAAAATCTACACAACTGCTCCTAGGTTATCCTGCAACATTGACCATTTTGCTTGACAGATCGTGTCAGGCACTGCCACTCACTCTTTGCGTTGCTCAGCCAAGGAGCTGCCACGGGTCAGTGCAAACATGTCAAACTCTTCTTCCAGTTTGCCAGAATGATCAAGGGATTGCAGCCCTGCACTGACACTGCCGGAACCCAGATCTGCAGGGGAATAAAACATAGGAGGAACAAACTGGAATATGTTGAGGCCAACAAATCATGATGAAGAGAGAGCAAGATGTTGGCTTGCTTATTTATATGACTATCGTTCTCCCAGAAATCTGGACCCAAGGTTGGTAACAATATAGAACCAGCACAATAACAAATACAACCAAAAGTTTATCACATGCCAGCCACAGACATCACAAACGGGTTGCCTTCTAAAAATCCCTAATTCTGCCTTTCTATAAGGCCCCAAACCTCCTTCTCCAGCCTCTCTCAAAAGCCATCAGTGAGGAAGTCTCCCTCATGTGTCCAGGGAGGCTCTTCCATAAAACGGGGGCAGTAACTGAAAATGCCTGCAGTCAAACTGTGGCTGACCATGTCCTCTTACAAGAAGGGATGGAGAGAACTCATTAGGTGTGATGACTGATACTACTGCATGGGTTTGTACAGGGAGAGGTGGCCCTTCAGGTGTGATGACCACAGGGATCAGATTTTGTTCTGCCTACTCTCAGCTAAGAAGAGCTCTATGGATGGTTGTATGTGACACAAAATCTAGCCCCAATCCAAATGTTGTTAATCATTGATGAGAATCAAAATGTCTCCGCCTTCACATCTATCAGCCCAAATGCAGAGTTCAGAATTTTAACAGAAGGAAGGAGAAAATACAGAGACTGCAAACAAGGGGCTGGAGGCCAGAAGAGAAAGCTGTGATGGTGGTGGGAAGAAGACGAAAAGCTGTATGGCACGTGGGACACAGTTAAGTTACTCACTCATTCCCGCAAGCTGAGACGAAAGAGAGTTGGGGGCTTCGGACTCATTCCCTGTTGATGTAGCGCCAGGACCCGCGTCAACCAAATTGCTCACATTTTCTGTATTGTTGTGTTGCTTTGAAGAAAGAGAAAAATTTACTTGCTATTCCCACGTTATTTCTGGTCAGGTTCTATTTCGTTTGGGAGGTCTGATATTTCATACCGATAGGGAACACCACAAATACCTCCTGTTACCCAAAAGCCTGAGTGTGACCCCAAAGCCTGTCAAAGATGCAGCTAGTGAACCTGACCCCATCTAGGCCAAGTGTCATTCATCTGACGAGTATTCTTCCAGCACTCAATATTAATTAGCGGGCAGAAAGCAGTGCGAGCACATTCCCAAGAAAGGAAGACCTGTCTTTGCTCCACTGGCTTGAAATCAGTGAGCAGTAAACACTTAACTCGCATGGGTTCAATGAAATTCAAAACAGGAGCCATTTCCTCTGGATTGTGCCTTACGACTTCAGCTTTATACTGCATGGGAGGCTGTGGGATAAGCAACAAAGGAGTCCCCAAACTGGACCCTGTGGCCCCGAACAATGAAGAGTCTCTCCCTAAGGTTACCTTATGAAGTTCCTGCTGCCTTCAGCTATTTGGAACTCTGTGAAATTTATGTCCCATCACTCTACAGTGGAATGTCATGGAAACATGGCAGAATCGCACAGTACACAGCAAACACGCCGAGCAGTGTGTGGACATGAAGGAAAGATGGTCCAAAGTGGCGGCTGGTGTAAAGAAAGCCAATGGACCAGAAATTTCTGCAGCAAACAAGGTCCCTACAGCTTTTTCCATTTCCAGTAAAGAACAGGATGGGGACAAAAGCTTCAATTAGGCTTACGTCTGCCAGAATCCAAAGCCCAACTGGAGCTAGACGCCAAGAGAGTAGGGCTACAAGATACCCAACCAGGGAGTGATTTGATCAGAACAACATTAAATTCCTAAACCTCTTTAGCTATTTGGGAGTAACAGAAGCAAATTCTGTGTGTATCCATGCACGCAGTGTGAAAAAACTCGAAATCAACCCATTAAGAATTGTACTCTATGACTTTAAAATGTCACAACAGCAATGATGTACTCTATTTTATCGTAATCTATATGAGTGACAAAATGCTATTAGCATGTGTTAGTGGGAAGGAGTGCTGAGTCACCTTAGTCGACTGTCCAGATCGGAGCCTTTCGAACCTACAAGAAAAAGGAGATGAGCTTGAGCGGAAGAAGGCGGGCTGCTCTGCTTATGGGAGGGTTGGGGAAAGCGTAGGGAGAGGGGGGGAAGAGGGCTCAGGAGTACCGTTCATGGCGCAGGAAAACGTTGTTGAGGTTGTCATTGACAATGAGCAGCTCCTCTGTTAGCTGTTCATTGAGGATACGGGGGATCAGCTCCAGAACACGCTGCTGCATCGCTTTACACGTCCGGTTCAGTTCCTACCCATGGCAAGAGAATGTAGATCATGAACACTGAGCTGAGGAGATTAGACTCAGAAACAGCAGTGAGCAGCCACCTTGGGGCTAAATCTCCATTCCTACTGAACAGGACAAGGGCACGATGAAATTAAGTTTGCTGACTTCAGCCAAGCCTGTCCTCACCCCTCGCTGGGGTGAATCTAATCAAGTTGCAGGTCCCACAGAGTCTGCCAGCAGACAGATGCTCCAACTATTTCCTACCTGGAGCAGTTCAAGGTCAGAGGTTTCAGCCTGTCCTGGCACCAGCTCCGTCAGCATCTCAGACATCACCTTCACATTCCCGTTCACTACTTCTAGCTCGCTGCGTAGCTTCCCGATCTGAAAACCCAAACGGACATGTGTTAAATCCTGCTGGTCTTTCTCTACAAAAGAAGATCAGAAGAAACAAAAGGCTGGGATGTGTGAACATGTGACGGCGCCTTAGGATGTTAGACCATTGCTACAGCTTGCCCACTATTGCCTGCTTGGTCTGTCAGTGGATCTACGGACCCTCAAAGAGAAGTCCCTCTTTCTAGCCTGCAAACTGAGATCCTTTCCCTAAAAATGTTAGGGATTTAACTCGGAAGCTTCTGCAAGCAAATTATATGATGTGATGGGCACAGGTTGCCTTTTATCACTGTAATTGATGGCTGGGTTTGCGGGCAGCATCATTGGAGCTTGGCTTGCTCCTGGCCAGCAGTGACTCTCCAGGTCAGCAGCCCACCAGAGACCTCCCCAGCTAGTTAAAGGGCCAGTCCCAATGAACAATGAAGGAGTTGGACTTCCAAGCAAAGGCAGTTGGACAGATGCTCTATGGCACTTTTATTGGGCCTCCTTCCTCTAGTTTTGCCCCCTTAGAGCGAGTTCAGTCTAAATTTCTCAGAGCAGTTCTTCAGGTCCCGATGTGTGTATTGAATACACTGATCCGTCTAGAGACAGGTGCTATATCAGTGGAAGCCAAAATTACTTTAGCTTCACTCCAGTATTGGCTTAAACTAAATTTCCATCCTCAGGGACTAACCCACTTGTTACTCTCAGACAACTTTCAATCCAAATGGCTGAGAGCAGTTCATAATAAATTATATGAGCTTGGTTTCCCCCCCAAGTGATTTTGAGTATGCATTGAGATGTAGCAAAATCAGCCCTAAAACAGAGAATGATGGACATGGAGAGACAGACAGATCTCGGTAGATGTCCTAAGTTTAGAGCCCCAGATTCTGACAAATATCGCTTGCAACCCATGTCCTATTTATCACAGCTTGATACTCACAAGTTTATGAAAACCTTCACATTAGCCAGATGTGAGGCTTTCCCCTCTGCGATGCTTGAGGGCAGATTCAAAAGGATCCCCACTGAATATAGACTTTGTCGATGCGGCTCAGGAGAGATAGAAACTATTGAGCACATGATGCTCAGATGTAACTGGTATAACAAGATCCGTGACAAATATATTACTCCTCTTATTACAGACTAGAAATAAGGCCCGTTGTGGAAATAAATACAACGGGATCTAGAAAGAGGCTGGGGGGGGGAGTTTGAGGTGTGGAATGGAGTGAAGTCCAATCAGCTTCCATATGCAAAAGACCAGGTTGTCGCAGCAGTTGTGGTGTGGGCGGGACCCAGGCTTTGCCTTCTGATTGGTGGTGATATATGCTGAGGAGCAGTGCCATCAGCCGTACACTAAGGGAGTGCATTTTAGAATTAGAACTTTGGCACCCACTATTCAATTATATATAAGGAGAGATATGGTGGGACAATCAAGTGCTGAGCAGTGTAACCGATTGTTAATTGATGGGAACCAGACAATTACCGAAACAGTGGCAAAATTTTGGGTAGCATGCTACTGCATCCAAAATACACGATCAAATATATAATAATAGTTGCCTAATGGTCTCTGTTTTATGTTCTTTTACTTTATTACGCTCAACTGTATTTTTATAGAGTTTTATTTTACTGTCCTAAATTCAGTTATATGAAAGTTATGAACGTTATATTTAAGCATGTGTGTTCTATGGCTTGTTGCCGTAATAAATGCCTGACTGACTGAAGGAGCTTCCTTTAGTGAAATAGTCTTTTACATGTGCAGAGCTGAATGGATGACAGATATGAGAAATGTCAAGTAGACTCTATTGCAAGAATATTGTTAGGCTCATGTTACTCTTACCTGCTCTGGAGTAGGTGTGATGGCAGCCTCAGCTGAAGGTCCCGGAGCTACTGGCAGGGACACAGGGTGCAGGATAGATTCTATTGTCTCAGGGGCATCCACTGCTGGTGAGTCCTGCCCTGGTGGAGAGTCTGAGGTATATACAGTCTAAAGAGGAATCCACAGGAGGAGAAGGAAATGGCTTAGAAATGGGTGAAAAAGGCACAGGGAATCTGTACTTATTCCTACTCAGAGAATCCATCTAGCAGTGGCTCTGGTACATTTTCTTCCTCTTACCCACCACAGCTTTTTATATGCCATCTGTTGCTTCCTTGGCCCATAAACTCTCATGTTCTCTGCACAGACTTGTTATGCTTTTCTGTGGCCTCCAAAGAAAACTGCAGTGGGACTTCTGGTTTTTGGCGACTTGCAGGCGGGTGCGCTCCATCATTGCTCTGATGTGAGCAGCCCGCAAACATTCCAATGGGGAGGGGTCCGAGTTGATGTTGGACCCCCGCAACCCCTTGTGGGGGGGGCACAGCCTGGGGCGCGTGAGGTACCTCTCCCAAGGCAGAAGCCAAGGGATCAAGGCTTCTTTTTCCCCGATAGGTCCTCGCGGCATGGAGCCAGCAATGGCACCTAGAGGCGCATACCGGCCCGAACGTGCAAGTGATCCAAATGAAACTACCTTCTCTACATCTTAAACGAATGCAAGTAAAATTGGGAGTGAACCCACGAGTTAGCAAACAACTGCCTAAATCCTGAGAGTAAAGCTGCCCCCAAATCCCAAACAAGCGGAAGGGGAAGGGGAATCCCGATCCCCCCAAAAAACCGAGTTAAAAGCGGGGACCACAAGGGCAGCTTAAAGGGAGCGGATTTTGACTGAGTGTGGTGTGGATTGGCAAGAAAGTGTTTATTACCAGACCTTCAGAGACTTTTGAAAATTCCTTGCTGACTGTAAACAATGACGCAGCGAGCAGAAAGAATGGCGGCGAAATTGAAACTTATAACAGGAACTGCCAGCACATCATCTCCGGTTACTAAACTGAAAGCAACCATAGACTTTCCTAAAATGATTGCTGCAGCTTTGCACCCTCTACTGGACCAGATGACCAACCTCAATGACAAGTTTGATACGTTGCAAAAGGAGCTTAAAGAAACTTCAGCAAAACAGAGACGTTAACCAAGAAGCTGAAAAAAGTTGACGTTAAGTCCAAAGAGTTTGCACAAAGACTGGAGGTAGTGGAAAATGAAAAAATCTCTGTCAACAATTGCTACTTCTTCAAATGGAAAAATCAGCGTATGTCCTGAGATTTCAAAACATTCCAGATCAGAAAGGAGAGAACCTGAAAGAGATTTTAAGTGACGAGCTTGCTCCCATGGTAAGCTTAACAGTGGAAGTAATACAAAGCAATTTGAATATGGTATATCGTACTTATCCAGAATTTATAAAAAAAACACAAGCTACCCAGGGAAGTATACACGAAATTCTTAAAAAGGTCAATGAGAGACTTAATTTTGAAGGCAACAAATGGAATTGTCTTGAAAATCAAAGGAGAACAAATCAAAGTTTAAAAGACATTCCATATGAGATCAGGAAAAGAAGGAGACAATACAGAGACTTAACACTGTTTTTGCAAAATCATACTACTCCATACAGATGGATATTTATTACCAGAAGACCTTACCTTCAACTACAATGAGAAAAAAGAAAAGATTGACTCTTTTCCTAAAGCGAAAATATTCCTGAAGCAACAAGAGAAAGCAAGAGATGGATCAAAGAATGTGGAGGACAACAAAGATGCAGAAGAAGAAGAAGATAAAAAGGGGGGAAGTTTTGACAATACCGCGAACAGCTCAGCAGAATCCTCTGACCTGGAAGCAGAATTAGGGGCTGCTGCTCCTAAACCTTTAAAAATTAAACTAGATTTTGATAAGAAGCGCAGAGGAAAGAAATAAGCAAACTAGAGTAACTTTGAAAGTCTGATGTTTATTATAAACTAATTATCTTAAAGCTAAGAAACACACACTTTAGCCAAGCAAGATTGTGTTTGCTCACTTTATACTTTTATATTTGCATAATATTAACTCTCATGTATTACTATTTGAGTAATAGGGAAGTATCGATTACTTTGAATATATGTGTTAATGATCCTTGCTACTCGTAGCTTTAGGTTGTTCCCTTTCCCTTGACCCTGTAGGTTTGTAGAATAGAAAAAGCAATTTAAAATGTTTTAAAAAAAACAAACCTGCACTCACAGCTATATATCCCAACTACTACACTGACTGCAACAGTAGACACACATAGCCCACGCCTCTGTATGACGAGTGAGGAATCTGGCAAGACGAGAATCCCCATTTCTGTTTAAAAAATAAGCAGCATGTTGCTAGTCCTCATGGAGAAAAAGAACTGATATCACTCCAGCAGTTTCAGCTCAGAAAAGAAAGACAGCCTTGAACGCAGCTTACAATGGGTAGGAGGCAAGAATCCTGACCTGCATAGGCTTTGTTAACATACAGCATTAGATTTTAATCCATCCCCTTTGAAAAGGAACTTTAATACTGAACTGCTCACACAAGCAGTTTTCCCTCCCCATAGTGTTTAGTGCTTACAGGAAAGAAACATCTGTTTGGAACAGAATATAAATAAAGAACTAGGTAACATTTTCATTTTAACAAAACACTAAACATCTCGCCCAAGAAAACGTTTACATTTCCCCAAGAATCCTAATCTTGCTACATTTTATGAGTTAGTGCAGCAAAAAAACAAATATTACCTTTGAAATCAATAGCATTGTATACATTACTGTTGAACAAGTTGGAAGCGAGAATAATTTGTTCAGTAACACAGAACCTGGAGCCCCATTCTGATTTTTTGGGTGTGCCGGTAACTAGCTCATTGCCATTATAGTTCTTGAACAGGTGCACACCTTAACAGACCCCCTGTAGAAGAGACATTAACCTTACCCTCTGTGGTGTATGGATGGGTGACAACATATCAAGGTCAGTCATGGGAAACTCTAGACCTTTCCTCCTCAAGTCCTCATACACAGCTACCACTCCTGTCAGGTCGGGTGAGCTGCGGAATGCGTCTGCCCAGGACTGGGGAAAACAAGAAAAGGTGTCACCTCCAAGTCTTACAGTGTACATTGTGACCCTTGTGAAAAATAACCAGGAAGGGGTAAATGTTGCTATGCTGTAGGAGCATAAGAGAAGAGCAGCAAGTGGTTTAAACACATAAGGCAAGTTCCTAAAAAAACCTGAATTTTCTTTCTCTCTCTCTCTTTTTTAAAAACAAGGTCCTAGTCTTTCCAAATGATAAAATATACTTAAAATGTATGAACAATGTCAACGGAAATCTTAAGACCCAAGGGGGTAAAAGGATTTCCCTTCTTGCCTTTCCCCAGGATGAGCAACTCTAGAATGAGTTATGCAAAATGGAAAAAAACCCACAGAACGTGTTACGGAAAACAGGAGATATATTACACAAACCAAGCAAACGTGCATAATATATATTTTGGTTGTTCAGTCACACAGTCGAGTCCGACTCTTCGCGACTAGTCACAAAATCCAACTTTTCTTGAGACAGAATGTTACGTTGTTTTGATGCATGGAGTACATTCAGTCCATCATCTAACCCAGGCGTGCATCACAGCCCAGGTTCAGGATCAAAATAATTGCTGATGGGGGTCAGAGCTTCATCACCAGCCCTCCGAGCTTAACAAGGCGCACAATGAGAGATAACACAAAATCGTACCTTTGAAATAACTGTGTTTGATTATTTGCCAGTGAAGGGAGAACTACACAGTTGCTAGAAGTCTAAGCGCGCTCACCTGTATGAGGGTCAGCACTTTGTCATGCACAATGGCAGGTGGGTTGTTTTTCGGGAGGATGGTTCGGACCAGCACACCTTCTACAAAGTCCTGGCTAGAAACCAGCACATGGAAACGGTGGCCACAGTTCTTGACACATGTTTCAAGGACCTGTGAAGACAAACAAGATGTCAGCAGGGAGGGGCAGAGGCTTTTGGTTCCCCACTGCTTACCATCATGATCACAGAAAAATTAGCTAATTTACATGCACAACAGCCACCCCAAATTGAAGGCATTTGCCCCTGCACTAAAACACACAACGTATGTGCCTTCAGGGAAAGGGCTCTGCCTCAGTGGTAGAGCACACAGAAGATCTCAGAAGCAGTCTACAGCAGTCCCAGCTAAAGGGTATCGGGCAGCAGATGTTGGGAGAGAACTTTCTGTGCCTCAGACACTGCTGGAAAAGATGGACCAGTGACCTGACTTGGTGTATGTTCTTATGTAAGGTTGCTAACGCAGGCAGGCACAACTTTAGAGCCCATCAAACTTGGTCAAGGTAACAACTGCTTTGCCGTCCACTGTATTTCTACTTCCCTTCCTCTCATTACATATTTCTTACAATCTTTGGGTGCTTTCCCACTACTTAATCCAAGATTAACGTTCCACCTTGGAGACTGAGCCTCTTGTCCAGTAACAACTAGGTTCTAGAACATCTTTCGCTTTACCCAACTACTGAAGTCAAGCTAGTAAGAAACGAAGAGGACTGGAAAAAATGATGTTTCTGGGGCTCTCTGTGACAAAGAAAGGGCCCACACTACTTACTGTCAAAGCCAGCATCACCTCGTGGAAGTTCTTATTCCCCACGATCCTTTTCTTTATTGCCCGAAAGGCATCTTTTGGCCTGAATGCAGATTACAAAAGCGTTGGTATTAGTGCAGAGGCAAAACATGCAGCTGCAATTTACCCATCAGTAGTCAACTCTAATTCCTCAGTCACTAACATTTTGGAGTCTTGCAACTAACCAAACAAGTTAAGCTTGCCCTTCCCCCAAAGCCGAAAGCAAATGTCTCTACATCCACAAATTTAATTTTCCGTAACTAGGGACACGAGTGCACACATCCCACAGTACCAATGACTGTAAACAGGAAGGAAATGGAGGAGAGACAAAAACAGAGGACACAGGCAAGAAAAACCATTATTAGAGAATGTAACCTAGCAGGGCAAAGTCTTATGACACTGGCTGGTGTGAGGAAAGATTAACACCCACCGCATGCCAGAAAGGGACAAGGAACATGTTGTTTGGGCAAGGAGAGAGCAGAATGTAAAACAGCTTACCCCAGAAGAATGCCCTTTTTCAAAGTTTCTATAATACTGAGTTATGCCCCATTGCAGGTGGAATAGGTGATGTGCTATCTGTTGCCTGCTATGGAAAATGGAACTAGAACAGACTTCCGGCTATGGCTGCGCGCTTGGTGACCAATTCTCGGGTCTGCTCCCGGAATCGGATCACCCACACACTGTCTGGAGGAGTCCCGCAGCCGCGGAGACTCTAAGGAGCCTTTGTTAAAGGGCTCCGAACCAGGGGGTGCTCTGAGAGACTGGGGGTAGCCTCTTGCCGGCTCGAAAAGCCGGGAATTGAGGCTCCCCCGCCAAAAGTCTCTCCTACCCCAAACGGCTCCAGCTGTGTTGTGCCCTGTAATGGGGACCAGCTAAGCCGCCGGGACAGCGGAGTGGTAAAGCGGACCAATTCAGAGAATAAAACTGTAAGACGGCGAACCGTGAGTCGAGGCTTCGATAAAATCGCTGGTTTTAAAGATCCCCCCCCCCGAAAAGAAGCGGCAGGAGGGAGGAGGGAATCCCCCCCCTGAGAACGACTGTCTTTAAAGCGTAGAGGGGGCGACGTGGGAATTGAAGAGAGCGGGTTACCTTCTGATGGTGAAAAGCAAAGCGAAGGTTTGGAAGTTTTCCGAACGAGTTGCAGATAAAATTCCCAAAAAGTAAACAAAACGGCAACATGGCGAACTTGAGAAAGCTAGCAGAGAAACAGACTAAAAAGACAGGCGGGACTTCCTGTCCAAGTCCCTCAAGCTCTGGAGCTGCTGCCAATCAACCTGATACTGACCTTGCATGCCATCTGCTGGCAGAACTGCAAAAAATAAATAAGAAACTAGATTCTGTTGAGGATGCTTTGGGATTACAGCAAAAGAAGATAACAGAGGTAGCTGAGAAGATGGATGATACTGTAAAAAAATGCCTTCAATCAGCAGAAGATGTACAGATAGTTAAGAAGAAGGTCCAAAAAGTGGAAAAGCATCAAGAAAGGCAAGATAATAAGCTGCTTATGCTTCAAATGGAAAAATCTAACCTCATTCTCCGATTCCAGGGGCTGAAAGAGGAAGATGGAGAGATTCTCAGAGACATATTAGCAACTGC